ACAAAACTGTGGAAGAGAGTGTGAAATGGAAATTCCAGAGCAGGAAAGATCCGGGTCCTTGGTGAGACACACGAGGAGCACTCAGGTGTGCCCATGCTCCCGGTCGCCTGAGATGTTCACTTGACACACAGATGAGCACTCAGGTGCTCCCGGTCATCCGAGATGTTCGGAAACGCCCAGGTCCCCGTCCTCCCCAGTCTTTGATATGACACCGCACTTGATGGCTCTAAAGTCCTCACACCTGTCTTAACTCATCTCACTCCCAGAGCTTTTGGGAAAGAAAAAGCAGGATCCAACAACCCACTTTTACCAAGAGGCAAAGGAAGACACCGGACAAGATGAGTCACTCGGGGTGACATAGACAGAAAATACAGTCAGCCATAAATCAAGGTACAAATGCTGATGCCACTTCCTCTGTCTCCCACTAAACCCTGTGCTCTCTCAATTTCTCATCCTCTGCTGCCAATCAGGCCCAGGCCCTCCACCGCTTTCTCGGGCTGCCGGAAGCTTCCTGTGCATAGATCTCTTCGGTCTTTCCCAAAGGGACCCACGAGAGCTGTCTGTTCTGAGAGGCAGAACACTGCTCCCACTCCTTAACCGCGGGTGAGTTGCTCTTTCCTCCTGCGGGGAACAGTGTGGAAAGGGAGAGGAGGGGAAGAGCCGTGCAATGGGGAGATCTAAGAGTCACTGCCTCAGGCAGGACCGCGGTCGGCGAGTACAGCGGCAGGTCGTGGTGCTGGAGTGGACCTCTGACACGATGGGATGGAAACTCACCGCCGCTGTGCTCTTTCCAAAACAGGCTCACCATAATCTCACTCACACCGCGAGAGAAATCACGAGAGAGAGAGAGAGCTATCCAGCGTTCTTCAAAATAATCAATGTCATTAAAAATTAAGAGTCTGTGAAACCACCACAACCAAGAGTAACCCAAGGCCACGACAGCTAAATATAATGCAATGCTCTGATGGGATCTTGATACTGATAAGGGTCACTCTCATCCCCCCCATCCAAGAAACTTCTCTTTGCCACAGATGAAGACCATCGCAGAAATGTCACCGCTGGCCAAAATGCAGGGAACGACTGATTGTGGGGAGCCCAGCCCCAGCTGACACCCCTAGAGCATGACCTCTGAACCAAGGCTCAGGGAACACTGCAGAAGAGGGCATGGAAAGAATGTAAGAGCCAGAGGACCCGAAACTGGGAGACCATGTCCTAAAGGTGACAGGAAAGCTTTTCCCACCATACCGCACCACGGCGGCTAAACAAGAACACCTACAGGCATATGGACACGGAGGAGGGAACTCCATGGCGCCCCGCCCCTAGACAAAGAACTGCAGGTAACTGAGCTATGCTGACAGGGAGGGACAGGCTTCCCCAGGCATGAGCACTCTGATTGGTTATCCAACACTACGTGGTCAGCCCTAAACTCATCTACTCACAAATAAGGCTAAGTGGCCTGAGCAGGCTGTATTTACATGTTTGTATAAAATCAACAACGACAAAGGAAAACAGACCATGAATTAGACAGGGGAGGGAGTGCAAGACAGGGATTAGAGGGAGGGAAAGAAGGGGGGGATGTGATGTAATTATAATTGCAAACCAATTAAAATTAAATACACTGAGGAAGGACATTAGGAATACTGTCTGGCCTATTATAACAAATGAAATCATACTTACATATTAATAAAGAGGGAAACCTGTATGGCAGATGTGGTGCTTGCTACATTATATCTCAATTTCTGTTTTCTAAAAATGTTTTCTTTTTTTTTAAGTAAAACTTAGAACAAAAACAAAACAACTACAGAAAAAGCTCCAGCAGCTCTCGGGGTCACAATGTATCAAGTTCAAGGCTCTCTGTGGCTTCAGAGATGTCAGTAACACCAACCACTGAGATTTCTAAAATAAAACACCTTCCGCCGAGTGTTGATGCTGAGAAGTCTTGGACTAGGGTGCCCAAGGAATATATGACAACTGAGGATGCCCTTTGACCTTCACACATTTGCATACCCACGCACCCCCCATACATGAACACACACACACACATAAATCACTCATAAATCACTATGACAGGTGACATCTACTGAACACATACTATGTTCCAAGCACCGTACTGTCCTGGAATGTCAATCACAGACAGCCCTTCTCCACAGGTGCCTTATGGGATACTGCTCCCTATTCTTGTTTTGCAGGGAAGGAAACCCGGACAAGAAGAGTTGAACATCTTGTTCAGGATCACATATCTTGTTCAAGGGCACCCTTGGGAACCATGGGAGGGCTGGGACTTCCACAGGAACATCGTATCCAGCAGAGAAGGAAACTGAGCCAGCTCAGAAGAGGTGAGCACCCCGCTGCACCGGAAAGACTGCCCACTGGCAAGCGGTGGTGGAGAGCTCTTCAAACACAAGACCTGCCCCATCACCCCTGTGGGAAGAACAGTCAGTGAAGGCGATGCAGCAAGGAGGAGCTACCTGTCACCAAGCACACCCCCCAAAGCCACCCGAAGACACCCAAGGGCACCCCAAAGCAACCGAGGATACCCTGAGGTCACCAAGGACACCCAAAGCCACCGAGGATATCCTCAGGTCACCGAGGACACCTGGAAGCCACCTGAGGACACCCCTGAAGCCACCCAAGGACACCCCCGAAGACACCGAGGACACTCCAAAGCCACCCTAGGACACCCCAAAGCCACTCGAGGACAGCCCCGAAGCCCCAGCAGAGGCCACGATTCGAGTCTGTCTTAGGTTGAGCTTGCCTGGATTGCAACCACAAGAGGGGACTTTGGATGCTGAGGACGACTCTAGGAATTGGGGGGATGGCTCAGTGGGTAAGGGTCCTAGCTGCACAAGGACAAGGACCTGAGTTCACATCCCCAGCATCCACACTAAGAGCCTGGCACGGCCATGCTTGTACCTGTAATCCAAGTGCCACAGGGAGCAGAGATCACTAGAGCTTCCCGGGCAGTCTAGCAAAAACAGTGACTCCTCAGACTCCATGAGAGACTCTGTTTCAAGGGAACAAGGAGGGGGGCATGATAGAACCACACACACACACACACACACACACACACACACACACACACACACACACACGCATGCATACATGCATACACACGCACTGGTTCTGCTTAAAGACAGGACTCCTCTTCCCTCGGGAGTCTGTGTTGGAGCCGTGGGTTCATTACCTAGACAGCTGGCGGTTTCCCTGCTTCTGCCACCTTCTAAGCAGGCATCCTAGAGATCTCTCCCACCTCCCTTTCTTTGTGCAAGAGCAGCACAGGAAATTAGAAATGCAAGCATTTAATAAACGCACAGGGCGCTTAATTTGCAGTTTACTCGGCAGGCTCGCTTCCTGCTGCGGCAAGCGGCAGTTACTAGAGGCTACAGGCGAGGATACCCTGTCATTAGTGGTCCAGAATGAGCCTTCTCTTGAACTGGCCTCCACACCTAGTTGGCTGAGGCCTCGTGAGTCCCGTAATCAGGGTTATCACTCAGTGCAGTCCTGCAGGTGGGCTGGGTTCTTCTCTACCTGTGGCTCTCTGCTAGGAAGGTGTCCCCACCCTCGACTCGTCCCTTCTGTAGCAAGCCTGCTCACTCCTCTGCTGGTCTCCCAATGACAGAAGCAGGCCGGGGCTCAAACCCAGTTAATCTGATTCCCCTCGAGGTGAGGAGGTGCGGAGATTGCCATCGCCCACCTGGGCAGTTTCCCCAGGTGACTCATGTCACGGGTGTGTTCTCTGTGCTCCACTGGCCTTCGGTGCATGAAGGCGGGGCTCAGAAAGGGTCTGACATCACTGGGGCCTTCCAAGTGACTTCCCGGACACACCGTGACTGCCGTGACCCTCCCTTGCCCTCTCTCAGGCTGCTGGGATGTCACCTTTCTGTACAGTCAGGACGGATAAGTCCCGAGAGTCTCTGGCAGAGATCAGAACGTGACTGTGCTCTGGAAACTGAGGGACCTGTCCCTAGCCCTTCCCTTCCCTGTCAGGTACCTCACAGAGGAGTCAGCAGCAGACCCCGGGGTGGCGGGAGAGACTATGTAAAGATTGTTTCCTTCTGGGGACACCAAAGCCTGTGCAGCTCAAAGTCACAAAGGACGCCAGGAGCCTACAAGAGGCAGGAAGGCCTGAAATATGACAGAAACCCCTCCTGGAGGTTTTTAGAACTTTCAAGGCCACCTGGGGACCTCAAATGGTCTCTGCACCACAAATTCCTCCTGGGCCTGGATCAAGTCACAGCCTCCTGGCAGATAACCACACCTTAATGGACTGGGAGAGAGCCAGGGCCATCCTGATTGTGAGACGGGAAGGGACTTCCATGCCATTTGAGCCATCTGTGGGAATCTGAGTCAAGAGGGAGGAGGGTCAGGGTGGAGAATTCCACCATGGCCTCCCACCCCTTAGTTCCAAATGCAGATCCCTTAGAGGGGTTAAACAACAAAACACAAAGTTCTAAAGTAGGGATTGAGATGTCCGTGCACAGAACGAAACACAGCGAGACCCCACCTGTATTTGTTTTAGCTTTCTGACTGCTTCTTATATGTCACTGGAGTCATAACCAGCTAACGCACACCTTGTGGTATGGTCAGTGTCTGTACAGCAAGTTACACTCTGTAAGGAGTGGCCAAAATTCACATCTACCTATGCTTCAATAGCCCTGTCACTCAGATAGGGAAACAGCTTTCAGAGGTTACGATTTACTCCAGCAGCAGGGACTCTGGGACAGCTAGCTGTGTAGCCCCTGGCCTTACTTGGTAGCTTAAAGGTTGCTAAGGTGGCGGTATCTGCACCATAGAAATTGACACATCTTACAAGCCGCTGTCTTCCTTTGTGTCCATTGGAAAGCTGAGTTAAACATTCACCTGTGGGCCACTGTCCCAAGGTCACATTGCCAGCAGACAACAGAGAGAGGCTCATGTTTGTAGGCTGTAGGACAGGCTCTTGGACCCTTTCCCTAAAAGGCTCTCCCTCTCCTTCTCTAGGAGCAGACATCCAAACTCACCCTCCTGGGCGCCTCTAGAGTCTACACCCACACAGGGAGACAGAAGCATCAGCCCCGCGTTCACAGGTGCCAACTGCAGCGTCAGGCAAACTGCAGTTTCCAAAACTGCTCTCCACTCCAGGCTCCTCCCAGACCTGAAGTTCAGCCTGTTCAAGCTTTCAGTGTGACATAACACTGCAGGGTGTGGCCTCCGAAGCAAAGGCAAACACACTTAATCCACACCCGTCACCTTGCAAGGTATTCTTTCTATTCATCCAGGTGACAGAGACAGCATTAACCCTGGTGACTTGTTCACTTCTTGTTTTACGGGGAGGGTTCGTCTCCGCTCCAGTGGAAGGGAAGTGGTTATCTCCTGGACAAGCACTGCTGAAGGCAGAGGCTGGAGACAGTGAATAAACACCCCCGTGGAGTCTCCTTAGCAGACAAATTCTACTTTCTAGAAGCAGTGTGAACACATTCTAACTCCGTGTGCCCGCCAAAGCAGTGTGACCACATTCTGATCCTATGTGCCTGCGGAATCAGTGTGAACACATTCTGACTCCGTGTGCCTGAGGCATGCTCTGGGCTGTTCCGGTGAAGAGAGGAGCAGGACATGCTCTAGGCCTCCAAGGCAGGCAGAACTTACTGGAAGGGAGAAGAGAAAACCGCCTCTGACCATGGGAAGGGTGGGATAGAGCATGTCCAGGCACATTAGGAAATGGGGTTTGACGGAAGGACGTTGTCATCAAGGTCAACACAGGTATCTGAGGCAGGGGATGAGGTGGGCCCCATGTCTGTGAAGGACAAACTAAGGGACTAGGCATTAAGGTCCTCATTCTCATCTTGAGATGAGGGTGTAATGAGTGGGCATTCTGGTCCCCCTCAACAGAACATTGGTTCACACCACAAGCGCAGCGGGAGCCTCTCGGTTATAATATGGGAACACGGTGAGGGCTTGGAGGTGGCCCCCCCGGGGGGTTAGATGGGTTGGTGCCATTCCTAGCTCTGCTCCTCGTAAGGCTGTGACTGCCTCAGTTTCTGTGTCTTGCTAGGGAGCAGTGGACATTTTCCTGTGTGTCCTAACGACACACAGAGTTGAACCTTGGAGGTCCTTTGCTGGAGTCATGGCTCTTTCTGCTTGGACTGTGTAACTAATTTGTAGAGACAAATTATTTGCTAGCATGAAACGTATGGAGATCCTACACACATCAGAATCTCCATTTCTCTTTCGATGCTTTTGAAAGCCAAAGGTCAAACTATGGACGATAGAGTGGCAGTCTGTCCTTTTCAGGGAGGGGCACACTCGCTGATGTGCCCTCTCTACTCCGTTAAGTCACCTGTCGGTTCTCAGAGGCTCTGTATAAACAGATGGCCCTTTCTCATCCTCCAATTAACACGACCCACAGAGCCTTCCTTACACCCAGTGCTGTATTTTTGGAGAACAGTAAACCCTGCCACACTCATCTAGCTGTGGTTCTATCTCATCAGGTTGATAAAGAGTCTCTAAATAATCCTTGAGCCAAAGCTGCACTCCTGCTCATCCTTCAAAGCCCAGTCAACCATGGCCACCTGGTAGAGTTAACCACTCTCTGCCCTGCCAACACATACTGGCTTAATAGTTGTCAGGTGAATACAGTTCACACTGTGTCACAATGACTTATATACGAGCTCCCTGACAGAAAGCGAGTGCTCTCTGGCCAAGTCTATACTCTATTTACTTCTGTATCGAAGATCACTTTTCCCACACAGGGTTTGGAAAATCATTTCGCAAACAACTCTGAGCATCTCCCCAACCATACACAGAATCCACTCACTCACTGCTCACTCAGGGTCCAATGGATGACCACTGTGGAGCAGACAAGTGTTGTGGATGCAAACGGAATCAACCACCTACCCACCCATCTCTGACGTTAAAAGGTTTACAAACCCCGAAGGCTCATCTTCAATGCCCCCAGTCCCACAAAGCCTTTTGCTTCCTTCGAAACAGCGACTCTGTCTTCCTTTGAGCCCCCATAGAACACCGTCTATTCCCTCTTTTTCACACGTTTACCAGCATGTCTCCCAACACCATTAATTTACAAGGTAAGATCTTCTCAGAGGGTCCATGCTAACCGCGGTCGTGTGTGGCGGCACATGATGGTAAGTCCAGCACTTGGTAGGTCGGGGAAAGAGGATCATTCTTGAGCCAGCTATATTGCAAGTTTTTGAGGTCAGCCTGGGCTACATGAGGCCTTGTTTCAAAAACCAAAACTAAACAACAAGCCAAAGGCTTAGCCACAAACTATCCCACAGAAAACAGACCTCCTCAATAAAACTGATTTGGTCAAGGCCACTACCAGAATATCACAGCTATGGTTCATCACCAAGCTTGGGCTGGGTCCTCCAGATGAGCGACAGCAGAAGAGAGCATGCCCAACACTATAGCCAGCAGACCCCCTTTTCCACCGTCAGTCCCAATACTCTTGACTCCCCACTGTCTACTGAGATGGGGTCCTGTGAGTAGGAGACAGCCATCTAGAGCATGCACCATTTGAGGACTCCCTTCCCAGGGCCTGGAGATCCACAGCCCCTGTTATTCCTCTGGGGGAGAGGTCTCTCAAACCTCTTTTCCACTCCCCCTCAGGCATTCCAGTGAGGAAACAGCTTTGCTATCTTTGACATCATCTACTGCCCTTAATTTTTCTTCAACTTCTCCCTTCTCGTAATGTTTTAAATACTGAGCAGCAACAGAAAGGAAGGAAAGGGAAAGGATTCAGTTTCCTTGGGCATAGACAGGATTTAGTGGTAGTGAAATGAAATGCCCCACACTTTAAGAATAATGTATTTTGGCTCCCCCAGAGACTAAAGAGGGAACTGTAGCCTTATGGAGCTGGATACCTCAAGTATCATCTTTTACCCAAGAGTTCCACAGAGCTCCATCAACGCAGGAAGCAAGCTCCCCGACTTTGTAAAGTGTGAGTGATACCCAGAGAACACGTGTGTGTAGCTGTGCACACCTGGATCATGACTTTAGACCAATGCCACTTTCTTGCAGGCACAACGAGCTCCAACCCATCTCACAAAAACTACCTTGGGACTTCCTCCCGGCCCATGCATACCCAGGATCAGGCAATGACGGCAGTTTCTTGGCTGCAAGTGTATCACAGGAGGTTGGCTCTATTACAAAACAGTTTCGCTCTATACAGCAGGGCCTCAGGCCAGCAAGATGTCTGTTACTCTCCCTCTGTCGCCTGGTTATTGTGAGCAAGATGAGGTTTGCCGGAGGAATGGAGATGATATGCAAATGGGGAGCCATCTGCAGGATCAATTATTCTATCCAGGGAAACCACGGACCACCTACACGAGATCAAAGTGTAGTTCCTGGACCAGGACACCGAAGTTACCTGAACAGGGTCAGGCTCTACCCCAGAAATCTTAATTTAACAATCTCTACAGGAGATTCCAGGGGTTTAAGAACAATGATTTCCTTGAACTATTTTTTTTAAGCCAGCATCTTCCTTGATAAACCGAAGTTATCCAAACAAGTCAGCTTGTTTGATTACAATGGGACCCAGAATCACTCCTGAATACCTGGGGCACATGGGACCATAACAATGTTAACCACATCAGGACCATTAGCAGCATGAGATCATGTCACTCTACACAAAAACACGTTTCAGAGAAAAGAGGTCACACGCAACAAATATTCACTGCCCACTGATAACAAAAATCTGCCCTTGAATTCACAGCTCCTGCCAGTGCGGGATAAGCATACCTCTGGCCTGAGTCACTCTCAGCTCAACACACAATGGAATAGGAAGCTGGCTGCTTTCAGCATGCACCCAGACCAGGCTCGGCCACAATGGGGAGAGTTCCCACACAGCTCAGTGACCAGTGAACCTTCTGGGAAGTTCTCTGGCTTGTTAATGCTGGCCTTGAAAAAAAAATGCCAAGCGTTTTTACTTCGACACTGTCACGAGCTCCTCTTCCTCAGCAGACACTGGGCTGTGACTGTGGAACAGAGGAAGTCAAAGCTCATGCCAAGACACATCCCATAGTAGAGTGAGCCCCCTGGAGCACCTCGTTTCTGAGAGAGGTCAGGAAAACCCACCTTGCTGTCCTGTGTGTGCGCATGATTAAGTGTATATTTGCACAGGCCAGAAGATAATCTTGGGTCACATTCAGGCACCATACATCTTGTGAATTTTTCCTTTTTTCTCTTCTCTCTCTCTCTCTCTCTCTCTCTCTCCCTCTCCCTCCCTCCCTCTCTCCCTCTCTCAAGAAAAGTTCTCTCAGCCAGGTGTGGTGGTGCACATCTTTAATCCCAGCACTCGGGAGACAGAGGCCAGTACACAGAGAAACCCTGTCTCAATAAATAAATAAATGAGAAGAAAATAAAGTTCTCTCATTGGCCCCAAACTTGCCAAATAGGTTAGCGTGGCTAGCCAAGGGAGCCTGGGGATCTTCCTGCTTCTTCCCACTTTGTACTGGGATCCTAAGTGTGCCACCATGCCCAGATTTGGTTTACACTGATGCTTTGGTATTGAATTCAGGTCCTTACTGGGCCATCTCCCCAGCCTGGTTCATTGGCCAGGAATGAGGATTTTTGTCAACACAATGTAGTTTGTTTATCCTTCCTTGTTACCTGACCAAGTGTTGGAAAGGATAAGAGCTGCTTCCCAAAGTTTGGGAGCAGCTAAAGATAGGGCTGGCCAACTCCAAGCATGGCTACCCACTCTCTGAGGAGTCTTGACTTCATCAAATCCTGCCGGGGAAACTCCAGCAACACATCCCTTCTCTCAAACATATGTACATGGATGGGTTTGATTGGCTGTGACATATTTATTTTTCTAGACTATTATTACCTTTTATACCTCAATGAGTTTGTGCGTAGAGCAGGCACCTGTTACTTTTTGCTTGTTTTCCCCAATGTGACCCTGTTTCCCTCAGTCATGGGAGCTACGTCTTGCAGACAGCCCTTCGGGAGTGAAGACAGGGCTGTCAGACTCACGCTGGTACGAGTAGCACCTTCGTTTAGAAAATAGTAAGAGCAATTCACACTT